CCTGTACTATTCTTAACTTCCCCCTGTCTATCTTCTAACTACCATTTATGCTACTTATTCTCTGTACCTTTTCCCCCTCTCTCTCCACCCACTCCCACACTGATAACCCTCCATGTGATCTCCATTTCTGTGCTTCTGTTCTAGTTGTTTGCTTAGTTTTTGTTTTTGTTTTAGGTGTGGTTGTTAATGACTGTGAGTTTGTTGCCATTTTACTGTTCATACATTTTTTTTAATCTTCTTTTTCTTAGATAAATCCCTTTAACATTTCCTGTAATAAGGGCTTGGTGATGATGAACTCCTTGAACTTGACCTTATCTGGGAAGCACTTTATCTGCCCTTCCATTCTAAATGAAAGCTTTGCTGGATAGAGTCATCTTGGATGTAGGTCCTTGCTTTTCATGACTTGGAATACTTTCCAGCTCCTTCTTGCCTGTAAGGACCCAGGAGAGTTCATTGGAGAGACACACTGGGTTCTAGAACATACACGAACCCACCCAACCCATGTTGCTGCTGCATTGTGGTGTATGTAGGGGAGGGGTCAGAGATGGAACAATGCCACTTGCTGGGCTCTCGGCAGCTTTCAGTCATTTCCCCAGCTACCCACAAGCAAAATTGGGCCCTTCTGGTACTGAGTCATGGGTGGGTGGGTTTGTGTATGTTCTAGGACCCAGTGTGTCTCTCCAATGAACTCTCCTGTGAGACTGGGAGTTTGTCCTGCTACCTCAAGCCCCGCAGGTTTTTTACCACCAGAGGTTTTGAGACTTTATTTCCCCACGCAGGAACCCTGGGTTATACAGTGTGTCTCACTCCCTAGTTTTTCCTCCCAGTTTATTTTTATGCAAATGTAGGACCCCCTGCTCTGCCACCTGCTACCTCTCCTGCCCTGATTCTCCAGCTGCTGCCTTGCCGAGAGTCCTCTCTGCCCAGGCTGTCTGTTTCTGCCTCTCCTACTGGTCTGTATGAATGTTTTTTTAACTCTTTGGTTGTCAGATTTCCATACAGTTGGATTTTCTGGCAGTTCTGGTTATTTTTTGTTCTTAATTTGTTGGTGTCCTTCTTTTGGTTGTGGGAGGAGGCACAGGGTATCTATCTACACCTTCATCTTGGCTGGAAGTCTACAGCCACCATCTTGACTGGAAGCCAGGTTAATGCTTTTTATGCTTCTGTTTAAGAAATTTTTCTCTGTTGTGAAAGATAATTTTCTCATTATATTTTAAGGCTTTATAGATCTGCCTTTCACATTTAGGTCTCTAACCCACCTATCATTTTCTTTTGTGTTTTTGGTATAGTGTAAGTTGAGGGTTTAGTTTGATGTGCTTTTTTCCCCCTAGATGTATCCCCCATTGTTCCACTGCTGTTTTTGGAAAAGACTATTCCTTTGTGATTTGTCAAGGGTCCATATATATTTGGATCTATTTTTAGACATTTTTCACCTGTAAAATTTATCTGTCTTTTTTAGACACAGAAAAATCTGTGTAAATTGAAGGTACAAAATGGAATAAATGCAGAGTATCAGTCATTATAACAAATACAAAATTGACCAAACTCACAGGTAAAACACAAAGATAGTTACATTGGATTAAAAAATCTAACTATATGTTCTTTCTTTTTTTAAAATTTTATTTATTTATTTTTAGAGAGGGGAAGGGAGGGAGAAAGGGAAAGAGAGAAACATCAGTGTGTGGTTGCATCTCATGTGCTCTCTGCTGGGGACCCAGCTCACAACCCAGGCTTGTGTCCTGACTGGGAGTCAAACCAGCGACTCTTTGTTTCACAGGCTGGCATTACAGTGCACTGAGTCACAGCAGCTAGGGCTAGCTATTATTCTTTAAAAGAGGCCCATTTAAAACACAAGAACTCAGCCCTGGCCAGTGTGGCTCAGTGGATTGAGCTCTCGCCTAAGAACTTAAAGGTCACCAGTTTGATCCCCGCCCCCCCCAGTCAGGGCACATGCCCAGGTTGCAGGCCAGTCCCTGGTTTGGGATGTGTGAGAGGCAGCCCATTGATGTTAATCTCCCTCACTTTCTCCCTCCCTTTCCTTCTTCTCTAAAAACAAACAAAAAATAAATAAAATCTTTAAAAAATAAAATTTAAGAACTCAGAAAAGTTGAAAGTAAAGGGTAGTAAAAGAATTTCAGGAGAATTTTCTGACAGTCCTGCATTTATGTGAGAAGGAAAGGTATCTCAATCAACTCCATGGTTTTCTGTGTTCAGGGTTTCTCTGCTTTTGTCCCCTCATGATTGTTAAAAGTCCATGCCCCCATCACTGAGATGTACCTCCTAGGGCAGACATGTACTTTGTTTCTGCCCTTGAGAATTTTCTTATTCTGTTGTGGAGTGAGCCATGCATTTAAAAGGAACTTGCTGCCCTAATTGGTGTTGCTCAGTGGGTTGGCTGTTGTACCACAAATGGAAAGGTTGTTGGTTGGTTCTTGGTCAGGACACATGCCTGAGTTGCAGGCCAGGCCACCAGTTGGCAGCATGTGACAGGTTACCCATCAGTATTTCTCTCACACATTGATGTTGCTATCCCTCTCTTTCTCCCTTCCTTCAACTCTCTATACAAAAATAAATAAAATCTTTAAAATGAACTTGCCATGTATCATTTTGCATTTTTAGGCATTTGTGTGGATGTCTTCCTACCCCATGCCTTCCTTCCTCAGTTGTTTAGTCTGTTATGTGTTATTTGAATCATTAGTCACCCATATAATTTAAAGAACTCACCCTGTAAGGGGACTACTGAAAACGTAAAATGATTGCCTGTTAGCAGAGAAGTTATAGATAATTTCTTTTTTAAAATATATTTTATTGATTACATTATTACAGTCATCCCAATTTTTCCCCTTTGCACCCCTCCACCTGGTACCCCCCATTTCCTCTGGCAGTTTCCCCACCCCTTGGTTCATGGCAGTGGGTCACACATACAAGTTCTTTGGCTACTTCATTTCTACAAATTCTTTGGCTACTTCATTTCCTATACTGTCCTAAACATCCCTATCTTTTCCATACCTACCAATTTGTACTTCTTAATCCCTGCACCTTTTTCCCCATTCTCCCCCTTTCCCCTCCCAACTGATAACTCTTCAGATGATCTCCTTTTTCTGTTCTTGTATGCTTAGTTTGGTTTTTAGATTGAATTGTTGATAGTTGTGAATTTATTGCCATTTTAATGTTCATAGTTTTGATCTTCTTCTTAAATAAATCCCTTTAGCATTTCATATAAAAAGGGCTTGGTGATGATAAACTCCTTGAACTTGACCTTATCTGAGAAGCACTTTATCTACCCTACTAAGTGATAGCTTTGCTGGATAGAGTAATCTAGGTTGTAGGACCTTGCTTTTCATCACTTTGAATGCTTCTTGGCAGTCCCTTCCAGCTTGCAAAGGTTCTTTTGAGAATTCAGCTGACAGTCTTATGGGAACTCCTTTGTAGGTGACTCCCTGCTTTTTTCTTGCTGCTCTGAAGATTCTCTCTTTATCTTTAACCTTTAATTATGATGTGTCTTGATGTGGCCCTTTTTGCATCCATCTTGTTTGGGACTCTCTGTGCTTCCTGGAGTTGTATGTCTAATTCCTTCACCAAATAGGGACATTTTCTTTCGTTATTTTTTCAAGAACATTTCCAATTTCTGGCTCTTTCTCTTTTCCTTCTGGCACCCCTATGATGCAAATGTTGGATCGCTTGAAGTTCTTCCAGAGGCTGCTTACACTATCCTCATTTTTTGGTTTCTTTCCTCTTCTTGCCATTCTGTGTGAATGTTTTTTTCGTCTTTATGTTCCAAATCACTGATTTGATTCTCATTTTCATCCACTCCACTGTTGATTCCCTATAAATTTCTCTTTATTTCACTTAGTGTAACCTTCATTTCTGCCTGGGTCTTTTTTTATGCTGTTGAATACCCAATGAGTTCCTGAGCATCCTCATAACCAGTGTTTTGAACTCTGTGTCTGATAGGTTGCTTATCTCCATTTTGTTTGGTTCTTTTTCTGGAGTTTTGTATTCTTCTTTCATTTGGACCATATTTCTTTGTCTCCTCATTTTGGCAGCCTCCCTGTGTTTGTTTCTATGTATTAGATAGAGCTGCTTTGTTTGACTCCCTGTCTTGGTAGCATGGCCTGTTGTAGAAAGGTGCATCCATAAAGTTAGAATGGGTACAGTCTTAGGTATTTGCCAGGGTGGGACAACCCATGGGACAACCCATGGGGCAACCAATGTCAACCAGGTTGATGGAGTCTCAGAAATGTTGTTGCCACTGTGTGGCTCTGTGTGGGGAGGGCTCAGAAAAGGGATAATGGCTGCTAGCTGGCCTCTAGAGTGTGGTCTGGGAGGAAACTGTCCCCCAGCATTCACTTTGATACCAGACACTTCAGTTTCTCCCCATATGCCACTGGTGCCCTTCCAGCTACTGTCCTCGTGCTCGTGTCCCGGGGTAATGAATCTGTGTATGTCCCAAGTCTGCTGTAGGCCCTTTAAGAGAAGATGCTTGAGAATCCTGCAGTTTCTTTTGCTGCCTCAACCCTCACTGGTGTTTTTACAGCCTGAAGTTATGGGGACTTATCTTCCTGGTACTAGAACCTTGGGCTGGGTGGTCTGGTGTGGGTGTGGGATCCTTTGCACCCAAAACATTCCATTTGATTTTTATCCACCATGCATGGGTGTGGGTCTGCCTGTTCCACATCTCTGCATCTGCTCCTCCTACCCGTTTGGATGAATGTGATTTCTTTAATTCCTTGTTGTCAGACTTGGATACATCCCAACTTTCTGATCATTCTGTTTGACTGTTGTTTTGTAGTTTAGTTGTAATTTTTGCTGTGGTTATATTAGGAGATGAGTCATGTTTGTTTGCCTATACCTCCTTCTTAACTGGAAGTCGATCATTTCTTATATCCTTATCCTTTTTTCACTTTTCTACAAAAGTACATGTTGTATAACTTTTTTAACTTAAGGAAATTGTCCTTAAGATTTTCCAAGTAATAGTCCTTCTTTTTCATTTGTTTCAGGTGGTGCGGTTGTGTCAGAACCCAAAGCTGGCGCTAAAGAATAGCCCACCTTATATCTTAGACCTGCTGCCAGATACCTACCAGCATCTTCGTACTATCTTGTCAAGATACGAGGGGAAGATGGAGACACTTGGAGAAAATGAGTATTTTAGGGTATTCATGGAGAATTTGATGAAGAAAACTAAGCAGACCATAAGCCTCTTCAAGGAGGGGAAAGAAAGAATGTATGAGGAAAATTCTCAGCCTAGGTAATGGAGAATACTACACAAATATTTATTCAGGTCTGTGACTGTTCAAATGGGTAACACATAGAAGTAGTTAAGTTGGTTTTAATTTTATGTCAATAATGCAAAGTTGACATTTGATTTAAAGGTGTGCTGTATATAAAAGGTTGCCTTGGAGAACATTGAACTATCTGTAACTTCATTAGGTTTGTTTACTTATGGAAAGTCAGTGGCTTAGAGTCAGGAATATGAGTTGGAGGTGGTAGGTCCTTTAGAGACCCTGAAGATCATGAAAATTTGTGGATAGGGGAGAGTGTGAATGAAAGAGGTTGGTGGTAAGCTGTGGTTAGAAGTAAATAATAAGAGGTTAGATTTTGCTAGAACTGTAGCATATTAGGCAAATTGTAAGTATGGGAAAATAGGAAGAAAAATTATCATAAGCCGTTAGTTTAGATAACTTTTTAATAAAGCATAGTGAAATGACATTTCTTTTACAGGTAAACTGACTTTTCTAATAGAACAGATATTGCCAAATGCAGTTAATTCAATGAATATTTGAGGGATCACTATATATTCGTTTGTTCTTTTTAAATGCTAAATACTATATTGGTTATCTTGTGTTATTTATTAGCTTGGTTGTAAGTGACATACTAGGAGAGAAATAGGTAGATTGTACATATAGGTATAGTTGTATTTGGTATTATCCAGTTGGAAATAAATATTAACTCATCTAAAGTAAGTGAAAAATGACTTCCGGCAAGATCGAGGCATAGGTGGACGCACGGTACCTCCACGCACAACCAAGATTAGAACAACAACAATTTAGAGCTAGAATAACACATAGAACTGATAGAGAATTTATCTGAATGGAAGTCGGACAGCCAAGAAGTTGAAGTAGACCTGTTCACCCAGACAGGTAGGCAGGGCGGAGCCAGGCGGGCTCGGGTCGGCAGTGGCGCGCGTGGGGGAGAAATCAGTGCGAACTGGGCTCGAACTTGGCGAGTGAGCCATCCGGGCGCGCAAGATCGCAGCGGTGTGAGTGCGCAAGTGGAGGCTGGCAGACCCAGTGAAGCAGCGATTGTGGACCAGGGCAGAGCGTGCAATCCAGGATCCCAGAGAAGGGACTGTGTTCCCGGGAGAACGGAACTACCGCCATTGTTCCCTCCCGCCCCCGGCCTTCGTCCCCACATACAACGTCACAATCTAGCGACTGGGGTGCCCAGCCCCGGTAAACACCTAAGGCTCCGCCCCTCACCGTAAAAAGAGTGACCAGACTGGGAAAAAAAAAGAAAAAAAAAAAAGACAGGGAGAGACATGTTTCCAACAGAAGAACAGATCAGTCTCCCAGGACTCATCCTTTTGAGCGACCAAGAAATAGCCAATCTATCAGATGCACAGTTCAAAACACTGGTGATCAGAAAGCTTATGGAATTGGTTGATTTTGGGCACAAATTAGATGAAAAGATGCAGGTCACCATAAAAGAGATTAAGGAAGATACACGGAGGAGAGCCAATAGTGAAGGGAAGGAAACTGGGTCTCAAAACAATACAGTGAACCAGAAGGAAGATAGAAACAACCAGGCAGGAAAGCATGAAGAAATAAGAATTCAAAAAAACGAGGAGAAGCTTAGGAACCTCAAGGACATCTTCAAATGTTCCAACATCCAAATTATAGGGGTACCAGAAGGGGAAGGGGAAAAGCAACAAATTGAGCACGTATTTGAACAAATAATAAAGGAGAACTTCCCCATTCTGGCAAAGGAAATAGTCTTCCAAGAAATCCAGGAAGTTCAGAGAGCCCCAAAGAAGTTGGACCCAAGAAGAAACACACCAAGGCACATCATAATTACATTAGTCAAGGTAAAAACGAAGGAGAGAATCCTAGAAGCAGCAAGAGATAAGGGGACAGTAACCTACAAAGGAGTTCCCATCAGACTGTCAGCTAATTTCTCAAAAGAGACCTTACAGGCAAGAAGGGGCTGGAAAGAAATATTCCAAGTCATGAAAGACAAGGACGTACGCCCCAGATTGCTCTATCCAGCAAAGCTCTCATTTAGAATGGAAGGGCAGATAAAGTGCTTCTCAGATAAGGTCAAGTTCAAGGAGTTCATCATCACCAAGCCCTTATTTTATGAAATGTTAAAGGGACTTATCTAAGAAAAGAAGATAAGGAAAAAACATGTATAGTAAAAGGACAGCAAACTCACAATTACTAACAACCACACCTAAAGCAAAACCAAAAGAAACTAAGCAAACAACTAGAACAGGAACAGAAGCATAGAAAGGGAGATCACATGGAGGGTTAGCAACAGGGGAATGGGAGGAGGAGAGAGGGGAAAAGGTACAGAGATTAAGTAGCATAGAATGTAGGCTGAAAATAGATAGAGGGAGGGTAAGAATAGTATGGGAAATACAGAAGCTAAAGAACTCATAAGTATGACACATGGACATGAACTAAAGTGGGGGGATATGGGTGGGAGAGGGTCTCCAGGGTGGAGGGGAGTGAAGGGGGGAAAATGGGACAACTGTAATAATAGCATAATCAATAAAATATATTAAAAAAGTAAGTAAAAATGTAAATACTACTATAAGTTTTTAGGGAATAAATTACTCTTTTTTTTTACTTAAAATTTTTTTATTTTAGTCATTGTTCAAGTACAGTTAATAAATTACTTTTGAGGAGTGACTTGAATTAGGGCAACTTTAATTTCTGAGGGCATTAATTTGGCATATATTACTCAAACAGTAACTTACTAAATTGTATTCTTGTAGCCCACTACTCCTTTCACTATGTTGTTTTAGATTCTGGGAACACTTGTCTCTCACTTAACATTGTACTCAGATCATTATTCATATTACCTTTACTACCACAAGTTACTCAGGTTTGATCCAGGATATTAGTCTTTTTATCAGGTTTTTTTTTTTGTTTATTTGTTTGTTTTTTAGGATTTTATTTATTTACTGTTAGAGAGAGGAGAGGGAGGGAGAAAGAGAGGGGGGGAAAACATCAATGCATGGTTGCCTCTCGTGTGCCCCCTACTGGGGACTGGACCCACAACCCAGGCATGTGCCGCTGGGAATCGAACCAGTGACCCTTTGGTTCACAGGTCAGTGCTCAGTCCACTGAGCCTCACCAGCCAGGGCAGTCTTTTTCTTCTTAAAAAGATTTCTGGTGAATAAGTTTAATGTGTAAGAACCTTTGTAACTTTTAGTTTATATGAAAATGAAGTTCATTCCTTTTAATGATTTCAATTTCTTGACTTTTGTTAAAACCTTGACCATATGGGACTTAGCTAACTAGTCATTTGTATTATTGAGTTTTAAAAAAATAATTTTACTTTATTAGATACCAGAACTTTAAAAATTTATTTACCATCTATAATTAACTTGGTTCTGTTTAAATCCCAGGAGGTGAAAAGAAGAGTTAAGCAATCAATTATGATGAAATGTGATAAATGCTTTAATAGAGATATGTACAAAATGTTGTGAGAACACAGTTTTTCTTAGTGGAATTAGGGAAGGTCGCACAGGGGGAGAGTTATCTGAACTAGGTTTTGAAAGGTAGGAATTTTATAGGCAGAATAGTGAAGAAAAGGCCTTTAACAAAGTGGCATGAAAAGCAGGCTCCATATGTTTAGGGAACATGAGCAGTCTGGTTTGGCTAGAATGTGGGGAAAGAGATAAGCCAGAAATACAGATTGGAGTGAGATTGCAAAGAGTTGTTCTTTGACCTCTAGACCTGCCCCTATAGATAACAGGCTGCCTTGAATAGTGTTTTCTAAAGAGCATTTTTATAATGAAATAAAAATTACAGAGCTTCTGGTCTTGGATCATACTGAACATTGTTTAATATTTTTTTCGTGACTGATAGTTCATCACTTAGAGGAACTATAATGTAGTGGTTAAGATGATGGACTCGGAAGCCTGTTGTCTGCGTTTGAATCCTAACTTTTCCACTTACTTAGCTATGTGATCCCTCATTTTCCTCATCTCTAAAATGAAATAATAATAGTACTTTCCTTGTAGGATTGTTGGGAATTATTAAATGAATAACTAAATGTTTAGTACTTAGAACTAAGTAATAAACACATTGAAAGTGACAAATGGGTTAGCTTTTATTATCTTAATCATTGTCATTATTTTCATTACTATAAACACAGATTAGTGTATTTGGCTGTGTATCAGTGATACTGCCAGGAACTGTTGAAGGCTGAGTTGCTCTTACTAAATGGCTCTATACTATGCTTGTAAGTTCTTTTGCCTTTCTTAAAATCTTACTGTCAGTATGTTTGTCTATCGGTTTTATTTTCCCTAATATGAAGGTTTTAATTCACAATGGGCTTTGAATACATATAACCAGATTCATACAAATTATATGTAAAGTGAGAATAAGTAAATTTCAGATGAGAATCAGATTTTTTTTTTAATAAAGGAAAATATATGGCTTTACTGTATGATATTTGTGATCTGTATTTTGGTTGCTCTTACATATTATTTTTCCTGTTCAGTTTTTGAAGTTGAGATATAGTTTACATACCATAAAATTTATCCCTTACTTTAAAGGGATAAATTATATAATGCATCATATACTTTAATATGATGCATTAGCTTTTAGTGTGTTAACAAAGTAAGGCAACCCTCAGCACTGTATAATTCCAGAATATTTTTATCATTCCAAAAAGAAACCGTGTGCTCATTAGCAGTCAGTTCCCATTCCCTACTCCTATCCCCTGCCAAGCACTCGGTAGTCGCTAATATATGCTTTCTGTTTCTTTTGATTTCCTTGTTCTAAAAATTTCGTATTAGTAGAGTTATGTAAGAGTAGCCTTTTTGGTCTGGCTTATTTCACTTAGCATGTTTTCAAAATTCATTCATGTTAGAAACAGCATGATTAGTACTTCATTTCTTTTTATGGCTAAATAGTATTTCACTGTATGTGTATAGACCACATTTTGAATATGGGCATTTGAGTATTCTGGATAAGTATACTTTTGACTGTTATGATAATATTGTGTACAGGTTTT